CTCATTGTTCAGCCTGCAAAACTTTACTGTTTTTGTCTCCGCTGTCATCACACGTAATTTTCGGCTGTAGGTAGGCAGCTTTTTTCAGTGGAAAAACTCTAAAAACCGACTCTACACTACAGCAGACAGACGTAGTTTGTGACCATAGCTTGTGAACATAGTGGGGCATTAACAGTGAAAGAGCCAAATATTTCCCCCAGGAGTTGATAGAGACCAAAATCAGAACTTTGTTACTGCATTGGCAGTATTTGAAAGATTTCAACCTCTACCTAGCCTTTACTAACATTATTATACCAATAGTCAGTTGTAAAATCAATCACATTATCTTCTTGTAAATTGTCTGACAAAATAGCCACAAAGAAACTTTCCTGTCACAAGCATACAAGAGAGTATCACTCTCTATAACGAAGCTTTCATCAACAGCAGATCAGGAATGTTTAGTGCTTGAGGTCAAAGTGATTATGCCTACGTTTGCTTTGTTGTGTTTTTATATTGTTAAATTCTTTCTTGCTGCATTCCATGTTTGGGAGATTAAGGTCATATGTCTGTGTCGGGGGTTAGATCTTTATTGGTTGGTCCATATGTGCTGGTGTTTGTCTGCAGTGATATGAAAGGCCTTCAGGCCTGCATAAACAGCCACTCAGACAGGCTGATGGCTGAGCAGCATGTGTTGCAACAGCTGCCTGTGTGATATGCGGTGTGTGTGGAGGCCACATAGAGATTCATAGAGGTCTGTCGGGGTAAATACTAGAGAAGTTACCTGGATGTAATTACATTTCTACAAGCACATGCTCCACCCACACTGTTAGTTTACTTGAAGTAAACATAAAGCCAAAGATGAGTGCTGTCTTCAAAGTCAGGGTGTCTTAGTTTTTCTATTTTAAGGGTTTAAATGATAGGTCTGACAATTACCTTTCCTTCAGGTTCCACTGGGGAGCCAAGTGAGAAGAGGATGGCCTCAGTCTCTGGATGCCTTGATAAAACGTCAATCTGTGATCGTAACCACCAACAACCGACCCGCTGATTGGTTTGTAGTTTGGTGTAGGGCTGGTTTATGAAAACGTCTGCGACCGTTTTTAATGCATTTTATTTCTGTATTTGATGCAGACAGTAGAGAGACAGGAAATTAGCGGCGAGAGAGACAACATGTAATAATGGTCTGAGGTCAGACATGAACCAGGGATGGTGTGGTTCATGATCAGAGCCTTAGCCCCTAGGCCACCAGAGCACCTCAGCCCCTACAATGTATTTGGCTTTTCTTCTATACCACATTTAGATACTTGCAGTTTTATCTAGTTTTTAAGCGTAGTTGGTGTGATACACAGTAAAACCCCAGTTTAAGTTCATAAAATGTTACACTGATCTGTACATTCTCTCAAGGATTGATTTGAGTCACTGAATAATCTTATGGAGAACATGTTACTGTATTTCAGGCATTACTAAAAAGAATAACATACTGACAATATATAAACAATGACTGCTGCTGCACCTGACCAAAATGGCGTGTGATAAATGTGATAATTACTTTGTCAGAGTTTGTTTCCTCTTTTGATGGTAGACCACATGTGTAGATCAGATCATGTTGAATTGTGTAGAAATTATGGTGCAGTGGACTGTGCTCAAAGAGTCAGGAGGATCGGTGCCTATTTGACATGATGGATGACTTTAATCTTACTGATTAAAGGAACACGCCCCCCATAACACTTCATTTAACATTTTACCCATTTAGAAGAAGGAATCCACCCAGTCTTTAGAGGTACTTTAAAGCACAACAGGAATGGAAGTTTGAATTTCCTACTTCCTAAAACTAGGGGCGTGTGTCACTGATTTGGTTTCAAGAAAAGTAAATGTGTATGTTCCCTGAAAACTGCATTATATCAGTGTTCTTCATTATTGTGAAAATGGGGCAATACGTTGGACTGCAAGGGATTTTCCCTTTAACACTGTCACGTAAGCAAAGCAATTTCCAGGGTTGTGCGACTCTTGCAGCCAAAGCACTCTAGAAATGATAAAAATAGGTGGTTTATTTATGGCTTTCTGCCATTATCTGGCAACTTGTACTGTTGTAATCACTTGTGCGTCATTCTGCAGTTCCAAACCGAACAAATCAACACAAATCCCCAGAAGAGGACAGACGAACGGGGGACAAATTAATAGGCAGACATGAGGAAGGAAATGAATCCTTAATCTTGTTTGGTTCTGTTCCAAATAACTTATCACTTGCCATTATCGCTTCTCTGAAATCCCAAAGAGGAAGCAATTTGAATGGATAGTTCCTGCCAACTCATTTCCTGTATCCTGATATTTCCTTTTTCAGACAGCATGGTGCAGGCCCACTGCGGCTGACCTGCTGGGATTCCTCTCACTCCGGTACTGATGAAATCCTGATAACACAGCTCTCTTGATACTTCTCCACAGTCTTGTGACCATTTATGAGATAAAAAGGTTAAAATGTATAAAATAGGACACCAGAATGTCTTTAATGTCATAAAGTTTTTTGTAGACACCATACTCTAGTCATAAGTTTATTTTTCATCATATACTTTAAATAACAATCTCAACAATGTTCTTAAACTCCAGAAAGTGTTTTGGACAAGTGTGTCAGATCAAAAACTCAAAATGTGAAAGGACAAAAACATCCTGCATGCTGTTGATTACTTTTACCCACTTAATTAACAATGTTTCGGTACTCAGACCATCATCAGGTAAAATACCAAAATGTCATTAATAAAGTGAGTACAAGTGATACACAGTGTGCAGGATTGTATAAAATATAATATGTCTTAACTTTGAAAAGAAGTATGGTGTTCTTCTCAAAACATTACTAAACGTCGCTAGCTCTCAGTGTTCTGAACACCAGCAGGGGATGGTTTTAATATCATTATGTTTGTCCCTTAATTGGACTGTTGCGGCAAGAACTCTGGTTTAATTGAGCCCTCAAAGTAACGACGTTCAGCTCTCAGTGCAGCACATCTGGTTTAGGCGTACAGCTGTTGGCAAAGACAAAAAGTGTCGGATGACTTGATCAGTTTTTTTTTTCCGTCTGTAAGTGTTTAGGATAAAAGTTTTTTTTTTTTTTTTTTTATGTGGATGATGAGGCCTTTTCTCAGAAGACTTAACTCATTTTCTAAATATGGGCAAAATTGCTGCTTTATTTACACTAATATAAAAAATATGAATGACTACCTTGCTTGAATGGTGTTGCCTCTGTTTCATATTACAGTTGTGCTAAAAGCACTTGAAACAATGAAGATGTTGGTGTTTGGAAATCTTTTGTTGAAGCACACAGTGTTTCCATTCTTTGTGCTGGAGGGAAGGCAGGAGAGGGACTCCTGAGGTATTGAGTTCCCTGTATCCATCATTTTCGACGAGTTGGGACCTTGGAGTAGCGCCAGCAGCGTCTGTGCTAGCCAGCCGTAACTGACATTGAGTGCATTGTTTGCAGTGGGAAGCTCACGGCTGTGGCCTAAAGGTACATTCCTGAGATCAGAATGCTGTTTGAAACACAAACAGCCTTTGTGCCCTCACTGCTCTTTCCCGGACTCCCTCATCCACATCAAGCCTGAAGAACTAAACTGCCTCCTCTCGCTCATGTGTCAACATGTGGGCTATCATTTTACTCACACACACACACACACACACACACACACACACACACACACACACACACACACACACACACACACACACACTTATGTCATTTTGATGATGTGGTCCAGGCAGATATCTAATCTCTTGGAAAGAAGCTGTAATGTCAAATCTTTTTCTAAAACAAACAAGGTTTTCAGATTTTTATTGACCTTTCTGACTCCTAAAGCATTTGCCTCATTGTTTAAGACAAAACAAGACATTTCGAGATGTAATCTTGGTCTTTAGTAAACTATGGTGGGCACGATTTTTTTTACATTTTATAGAGCAAATATATAATGGATTAATCGAGGAAATCATCAGCAGGTTAGTCAATAATGAAAATAGCTGTTAGTTGCAGCCCTTATGAGAGTTTAAGAATGTGTTTTTGTCATTGCTCTGGTTGTGGTCAGTTGTGTGCAAAAACTCTGTCCCAAAACCAAACACCAGACAACTGTCATTCAAACCGGAGGGAGACAAATTTACAAACCTGCTGAATGTTTTTGTCCTCAAACTGCTTTATTCTATATGTTGTGAACTTTAACCCCAAAACCTCACTGGAAATAGTCAAATTTACACTCTATATAAAAATCCTTTTTTCATGTTAGCTGTCACATTATTTTACAGTGGAAAGCAAAACTATTGAAAACGAGAAGACACTGATGTGTGAATCACAACCAACAAAGGAGTGTTTAACTGTAAAGTAGCTTTACTTTCTGTCTGCCCACATTTATTACCTATTGCCCAATGGAACATCTTTACACCTGTTGAAAGTTAATAATGGAAATAAAATTTTAAAAAATCGGATGCAAACATGCCAGATTGAGGAAAAGTTGGTATCAAAAAGAGTGGTCACTTAATCACTGAAAAACTCCTGGAGTCCACTTAAAAATGAAGATACTATACTATATACTATATACCAAGGTTGAAGTTAGTCAGGTTGAACTAATATCGGATCACATGTTAAGGCAAGACACATAATGCCACTGTTCTGTTTCACCGGCTTAGCATTTGACAGTGTGTGATGTAGTACAATAATATGAGGGAAGTTAGCCTTAATGAGTGATTATATTAAGTGATGTTCACTGAGTGTCCTGTTATTCCACAATTAATCTGTACTCAACTGCTCTGCTGAGGAAGAGTTAATAGGATGTGCATAATTAAATGATCAGTAAGGATGTTGCACAGATCATTAGCACTGCAGGCATCAAGTTATTTAGTTCAATTTATTATTGTACAGCAGTGCAGTCACAGTGTCATCAATTATCTACAGGATATTACAGCATAAAAAGTTATTTTTATTGGGGTGTCATGGTGGCTCAAACACATATGAGAGATGCTCTGACTGTAACATCTCCTGTTTGATTCCAGCCGGGGACTTTTAATGCATGTCAGTCCACCTCTGTCACCTCTGAAGAAAAATGCCTCAAAAAATACTTTCAAAAGGTATGTATATTTCAAAAATAAATACTATAGCTTAGGTTTTAGGCTATAAATGCACTTTAATAAGTAATCCTTAAATTAAAATAACTGTCACTGAAAAATCAGTTGGGGTATAACATGTCAGAAACAAATAGACTTGTTTTTTTTTATTATTGTCCATGTAATGCAGCAGAAGTCAAGGGAATGTATCCAGTATTGTAAATGACATATTATGAACCAAAGCTGGTGATTGTAACTAATATTGATAAATATCAACAATATTTTCTTGAAAAGCTTTGTGTTTTACCTTAAAATATTTGTATACTAAAAACATCAGTTAGGGTATAACCATTTAAATAAACCTCTGCAGCATTTGCTATCATATGTGATAATGCTAAATAAGTCATAGGCTTGTATTTTGTAATGTTGTAAAATAAAATTATGGACCGTCATAATACAGAGAAATATAATCAATATTTTTATAAAAACCTTGTATTTTCCCCTGAAAATCAGTATATATCGCATACTTTTTTGAGTGTGCACTATGAAGTTCTGTGAGCAGTAAAATGTTTATATAACCAGTTTCCTAGATAATAAACTAGGAGAAGTGCTCCCTCGACAAAATGGGTTTCCAACACATTCATCCCAACTCACCTTGTATTTCTCAAGACCATCTTCCTCCCACCTCAAACTCCCGCCCACAACGTAGAAACCCACAACAAGTGGCCAACCAATGAAAAGCAACTCGCTAATGTGTGGAGAGGGGGCTGAGGCACAGAAAGACAAATGCTCAAAGGGGAGAGAGTAGAGGACCACTTTGCGACCCACAAGGGTTGTTATTTTTCCCCATGCAGTATTTGTTTGCACTTTGCGCACAAGGACCACTAAATGACCCAGCGCAGTCCACCAATGGGCTCTCGGGACTTGTCCGGCTTCGCATTATGGAGGAGATCCGCTAGCAGAGAGGACGCGAGAGGGAATCGCTGAGCTAGAGGCAGTTTGTTTCATGAACTCGGAATCACTGCGATGGAATGAGCCGCTGCAGAAACTCAACTGAACTTGCGGAGAACTTTTCTTCTTGCGTCTCTTTTGCGCCTGTGAGTTTCTATTTTAGTTTCCACCCCAATCATGTACGGATAACGGGAGGTTCGCTCAAGAATCCGGCTCAAATGGATCAGCGCTGACGGGTTTATGGAGTCGGGATTACACAGCGCAGTGCCAGCCTGTTGAACGCCCACACACGGGCCTATCACACACCATCTGCCTCGGAATAAAAAAAGACTCTCCAGTGAAGACACTATTAGTGGAAGTAGTGTAGAAGTTTTACATATGACACTGCTGTGAGTTTTGCGTTTCTTGCAGCCAGAACAATGGCACGCTCTGGCGCATTGACACAGAGCGCCTGTAGATATTTTTGGCCTCTTAGTTGTGTGCTCTTGTTTTTCGGCTACTTATCTGTGGCCTCGCCATCCCATGGTCGGAGGCTGATATGCTGGCAAGCCATAATGAACTGCCAAGCAGAGCCCGAGTGCAATTACGCATACGAACACTACACGCGCGCGTGTGGCCCCGTGCTGAACGGGGACAGGAAGAAGTGCCCCAGCCACTGCATCTCCTCGCTCGTTCAGCTCAATTTGACCAAAAACGGGCCAGCTCTGGAGGACTGCAGCTGCGCCCACGACCCGTTGTGTACGAGCACCAAACGGGCCATCGAGCCATGTTTGCCCAGGACTACCAGCACTGGTTGCACGGAAGCTCGGCGACAGTGCGAGAGAGACCAGCAGTGCAGCTCCACCATGCACGATTATCTGAACCACTGCGGGAAACTTTTCAGCGGGGCAATCTGCACGAACGCTTGCCGGAATGTGATCGCGAATATGCGTAAAATACCCAAGGGTCAGCAGCTGGACACTTGTATGTGTGACGGGACGGAGAGGGCCATCTGTGAGTTTGTCAAGAGCAGCATGAAGGCGCTGTGCTTCGACTCGCCCGTGAGGGATGAGGGCAGCGGGTCCGACTACGGCCAGGATCCAGATTACGACGACGACCCCTCGGATCAGGACTATCCAGAGGAGCTGGAAAGCGGATCCTCTCTCCCGGCGGCTCACTGTGTTTTGACCCTGTTGGCATCCATCTTGGCTGTATTGCCCCTCATTTAGTCCCCGGGGTCATAATCTGCCCCGACTATTGTCCGGATAAAAGGAAATCTAAACCTTTGTCACTTATTGACCTGCTACTATTGAAAGCTTAGAGACGCAATGACTAAAGGAAGGGGTGTGTTGGCGCATGCCTTGTTTGAATTGAGAGTTATAGACGCTGAAGGATATCAAATCAGGATATTTTCTATGCAAATGAGACCAGAAAGATATTTTGAAACTGCATGAGCTCAAGCCTGCTCCCTTATCAAACCACACCACTTCACAGATGCTTTGCTTATGTGATAAGCTAAATTAGATTTTCCTCTTTTCTCTCTGTCACAGACTCTGATAGGAAAGCCATGATAGAGACACAGTTGGCTTGTTAACAATGCAAGGTTTAATCAGTACATACTGTGCACTGCCAATCTCTCTATAAAAAACTATTTTTATATGACACTGTTGCCATTTGGTACCAGGGTATCTGATTTACAAGTATTTAATGCTGGAATCTATGAACTTGTAAATAGATGAGGAGTTAAAGTGAAACAGTAATTTATTACATGCCACCTAGTTACATCCAAATGTTCATCATGTGAATAAATGACTGAGAATTCCAGCTTTAAAGGGAAGTTATTTGACTTGTATATATGTGTATAGCTTATATAGATTTTTTTCAGAGAATCCTCTATGTTTGAGGCTATGAGATGATTTATTCACTGTGTATAGCCTAGAGAGAGAAATGTCTAAATCCACTGTATGATTGCCTTAATGATATACTTTTATAGAAGGCATAAAGGAAACTTGAAGATATCATTCTTGACTGAGTTATTTGTTGATTTTGCCACATCACTTCCTTGATGGTGTTGTGGCTTTGTTTTAAACAGAAAGTTAAATGGTTTTTAATGAGTCAGAAAACCTTCATAACACTTTTGTTGCTCAGTCAGTTTTGGCGTTTTATTATAGCTATTTCGCTGTAATGAAACAAATATAATGGCAATCTGAGAAAGATTTTAAGTTACATCAATTTGGAGTAACTTGCTTTATGCATAACAACTTGGTTAGGTAACAAAAATAATGTATATCTAAGTGTGAGAATCTTTATTTTACAATCACTTATATTCAGCTCTTAAAACCCCATTAACATGCATAATAGGTAAGGTCAGGTGTGCATTAAATGAGTCAATGTAAAAGCAACTTATTTTGATTTCTCCTTTTACAGTGCTGTATAAGTACATAAATCCTGTTTCTTGCAAAGATAAAACTGAGATATCAAATTCACTAATTTACAGGAATATTATTTTAATATGCAGGTTGTGTGAAATGATTAAGCCATTTTTACTCTATTTGTAAAATGTTTATCCTATTAAGTGATATATCTGGTCTGGTCTTCCAGGTCCTTCATTACAGCGTTGTATCATATTACCTTTTACACTCCTGTTCCTCTAAGTACAGTATATATGGGCTCATTTAAAATGCAGGCCAGCTTCCACTGTTGACTGACAGCCTAATGACCTGCAATGTCTTGATTTAGCTGGCTGTTGTCAAAAGCAACTGGCACCATAAATCAACAGAAGACCCCTCGACACCTCCACCAACAACACCCTCTACTCTCTAGTATCAGACTTTATAGTAAATGGCTGTTAGAAGCTGAATTTTAGTAATAGATTGAAATTCAAATTTTTTTACTCAACTTTTTACTGCATTACACAGATTAGTATCTTAAATTTAGTTGTTATTCTTTGTATTATTTATATACATCTCAATGACAGATTTTTGTCCTGTGGGGGCAGCTTTGTTGTTAAAATAGACAATCATTCCTTTATTTTTCTAAAACTACAAGTTACAAGATGCATTTATTTAGGTGTTATATTTACAAAATCATTTATGCAGCTATACGTACTGCGAGTATGTGTATGTTATTATTTTTATGAGGGACTGCAGATCTCTTTGGTCGGCTTCAGTAGCTTTAAATCAGTGATTTGCTGTAAAATGTTTTATTAGAGGGGGGACAAGGGCCCTCCAGCTGAATGGATGGAGGAGAAGTCGAGTGGCATCTTTGTCATGGAAATGTTAAGCACATAATAGTTGGGTAGCACAATAGGGAGGCACTTCATTCTTTCAGGCTGGCTTGACACCTCTGGAGAGCTGAGCGGCGGGGAAGCATGTGGGAACGATCTGCTGCCGCTTGGGTCTCAACCTTCCACTGCAAGAAAAGGAAGAAGAAGAAAACACATGACAGGCCTGGCGAGGGAAGTTTTAGTTTGAATCCACGCCTAACATCCCCTGTGTTTTTGTTAAAAGACCTGCATTTGATAAATTTTACCTACATTGACCAATTTCCCCCCAGGGATGAATAAATGATTTTTCTTTTTAATTTGTGTATTTTAGTACCTCCTACTTTTTCCCTTCTAAAAAAAAAATAATAATAATACAAGCTTTAATCAAAAAGTCACTCCAAAACATTTATTTTCCCATGTTTTGACATCTTACACATAACATTAAAAACATTGCATTAAACTAAAATGCTATTTGCGTGCTGATTTCAAAAAGTGTAGCTCCTAAATAAAATACCATGTCAGTTACTTGCAGTGTCGGTATGCGGTCCACTGTGCATGAAGCTTTCCAGCAGAAGAATAGCTCTGTAGCCCAACCGTTCCTCCTCCTCCTCCTTCTCCTCCTTGTCTTTCTTTTGCCTCTCGCATTTGTTCAGGCATTTTCAGCACTTAGAAAAGGCGCAGCATGCGTTGATTAGGCTATAATAATGCACGATGTGTGAATGGATGAATGAGGTGCAAAAAATCTCACAAAACTGGCCTGCTTGTCATAAAATGGAAAAGGTGCACAATGAGTGCTTGAATACATTGGTTGGTGTAGTGCTCACAAGGA